TTCTTTTGAATGCGTCCTTCAATTATTGTTCTAAAATATCTAGTTTTACAAGTAAGGATTTTTGACTTGCTTTTTTTTTTTTTTTCCTGGGTTCAGTGCTGCAGGTAGTACCACGGTAACCCCAACTCCCATCACCACCACACCTTCAACCTCTACAACACCATCAACCACAACACCGACAACCATGACACCCACAACTGCAGCGCCATACACTGGAACTGGAACATCAACTGGAGTGCTAGGAGGAGTAGGCACTGGCTTGGGTCCCTCTGGCATCAACACAGACTACAGCGATGGTGGGTTCAGACTCCAGCAGTCTATTAGTCTGTTCTCTTTCTTTACATCCCTCTTGATGCTTTTGTGGGTTTGAGAAAAAACAGTGGCAGTGCCTGTGGCTAGGTAATGACGTAGGGGTGGTTGCTGGTGGTAATGCTGGATTTAGATGTTCATTAATGGGGTATCCCATGTGATTCTGCTGTTATCTAAAGATGTCCTACTTAAGTTTTTGTAATCTTCTCCCATTTGGGCAAAGAGATGGCCATTGTATTCTCTTTTGGGTGGTATTGTGGTATCTTTTTGTCTCCACTATCTTTTTGTTTTTCACCTGTTTCATGTACATCTAGATCTAGAAGGCTGTAAACTATTAATTTTATGAGTATTTGGCACCAGAACATCCTCCTTGGTATTGCAGGACTTGCTTAGATGTGTTACTTATTCACTCAAGTTCTGTCATTATGTAGGTTTTTTTTACCTTAATTGTTCTTTGTTATATGTGAGACCTCTGTAGCCTAGCTAAAATCTGAATTGTAGTTGTCAGATGATCTAGGTGTTTAACTGCTTGAGGAAAGTGATAAATAAATACTACAATATTATATGGGTATATAAGAAGGGACTATAAAAATTTAAAATATTTAATATCTTAATATTTAAAATATCAAAAATTACAATGAAAAAACTTAAATATTTTTAATGAATTAACATTTAAAAAGATTTATTGAGAGCATTGAAACAATTTAATAGGAAGTAAATGTTAGGGTGTTTTAATTTTTATTTTTTTATATAAAAAACTTCATTAATTTTATAATTATGAATAGCAAAGATTTTATTTAATATATTATAGTTTTTGGATTTGATTTTTATAAATTTTACAACTGTGAATTAAAAACTTGTTTAATTTTATATGTTTTACAATAAATTACTATAATTATTAGAAAAAGAACAAAAATAAATTTCAATATTATTAAACAAGTTTATATTCCACTTATCTTAAAATAATAGACTTTTTTTATGTAGATTGTCCCATAAAAGTAGTCCTTTTTCATATTTTAAGGGAACACATGTTTTTCTTACTTTAATTTTATTATTATCTTTTAATTTTAATTAATTATTCTATCAGAAAAATGTCTTTATTTAATTTTTTAAGTGTAAAATAGATAAAAATGAAAATTGTTCTCAATTCATTGATTCAGAATATAAAATAAAGTAACTTTTATTATTCTATGATAGAGGGAGTATTTTTAGTTGTTAGTGTTAAAACTTGTCTTAAATAAATTGTTTGTTTTTTATTTTTAGTTTTAGTTTTTGGTAATTACAAAATTTATAAAAACCAAAATCTAAATCTAAAATCCACTGTATTACATCCATCCTTAAAAAAATAGCAAGGAAGCCTCTCCTCTTTTTCCCATAGCTACCGACTTCTCTTCTTCTTCAATTTTAACCCTCTCCCTTTTCGGTGGTTAGGGAGGATAAATAAAAGTGAGAGTTTCTCTTTTTTTGAGATTTATCACTCCTTCGTAGAGGTTTATCCCCCTTTATTGGGGAATTTTTTGGGGGGACTATCTCGACAATTTTCATTGGATTTTGCTCTAGGTTGAAGAGGATGACATTGTGGTGGTGACTTTTCTCTAGGTTAATTTGAGCATATAGTTTGGATGGATTCTTGATGGAGACTCCAGTTGTTCCTCATGTTAGTGCAGATCTTCATTCAACATTCTTCAATGGGTGGGGATTGAAGTTTGCCTAATTAGCTGCTTTCATCGAAACTCGACTTGGCAATTGAGAAAGTTTAACAGTCTCAAACACAAACAAGGGTTTTTTTTTTTTACTTTTGTAGCACTATACATGTCACTATAACAATTGTAGAGGCAATCTTTAGGTATATGTGACTCTTTACATTTTATTGTTTTTATTCATTATGAGCATAGTTGTCATCTATATTTAGTTCTATAGATTATAACTTCAACTTGGTTTTAGATGTCTTTACATAGAAATTGATATGTAGTTTCCTTTCTATTAGTAAAACATCTCTATTTCTCATAAAAAATAAAATAATTTTAAAAATTAAAATTAAAGAAACAAAGAAGGTTATTCCCTATCAGTTATTAGTTGTGTTTGGAACACATAATTTAAACAAGACAAAGGCATTTTGGACCATAAAAACTGGTCTAACATAATGCATTAATAGAGAAATAAAAAACATAAAACTTATGTCTTTTAATTCGATAAGCAAATATTATTTTATAAATTAAATTTAAAGTTTAAATTTTAACATTACTTTATGGATGAATGATATTATTAAAATGCACCTTACATTGCCCTATGCATTCTTGATTAGCAAAATGCGTGAAGCTTATATCTCTTATTGTATTGTTTTAATGCATGTATTACAAGAGTTCTCTTCCTTTAATTTTTTTTTAATAATTAAAGAGCAAGAATGGAAAAAATTTCCATTTAACTCTTTTATAATTTTAGTATAAATAAATAAATAATAATAAATATTATCTCCTCTTTCTTTTTTTTTTTAACATTGATAATAAAACTCAAATTTTACATTTCTAAATCATAATACGAGAATGCCTTTTATAAAGATAAAATAACTATTAAACAACACAAGCATTCTCTTTTCTGTCTTTTTCTTTCAAAACCGAACCAGAGGTTAAAGTGTAGCATACCAGAGGTGCTATCAACCTCTTGAGCACCTTAAAGGCTAGATGAATATAATAGTTGAACTTGATTCTCAATCTATCAACTCAGCATAATCCACCTCGGACAATAAATGAAAAGGCAGTGGTCGAAATAAT